CCCAGATCTCGAAACGTATCTCTTGCTCCTCGTTTTCTTTCCACCATGGACGCTTTTTCGTCGAATCGATGCGATTTCGTCCAGACACGATTGTATATAATCGTGTCGATAAAACGACGAGAGGATTAACGATTAACGGTTTTCGTTCACGCGATTGCGGTCCAAGGATCGAGATATTACGAATGCGCCCCGTGCAGGAGACCCCGATCCTTTTGACCGCAAATTTCGTGGAGGCAGCTGTCGAGCAGGCAAGTTTGCGCTAATTACTTGGGCCACGATTAACCCCGTAATGGCCATATATCATGAGAGAGAGAGAGAAGGGTCGCGCGTTGAAAGACACCGGATTAAAGGGGTAACGAATCGATCCACCCGTCTACTTCGAATCGTCGATTTATCAAATGGAGAAACGATTTCGCTCCTTCGATCCAATCTTCTTCGAGCAATATTACCTCTCGAGACGGAATTCCTTTTGAAACTGAGATCGTGAAATCATCGTACGTACGTTTGTATACAATCTAATCGTCTAGGATAAATAACTACTTAACTTACGTATCGCGATACAATATTTATATACAAGTCGTATGTTATATTTATATACAAGTCGTAACCGGACGCCTCGACCGTTTTCGGTTGAACAGCGGTGTGTGCGGCCCACGAGGAAGGGAGAGGGGAAGAGTAAGGTTGAGAAACGTAACGTTCGCACCCGAGGAATCGGTGTGGCAGGCGTGCATAGGATGCACACGTTGCACACTCGGCCGAGCAGTATGGAGAGTATAACCCAGTTTCGCTCGCGGGAAGCTATCCACTATCCCAGGGTGGTTAGGTTGGCGAGGGGCAACGAGAACGCAAGAGAAGAGGAAAGGCTCGCCGGCTAAGCCCCCGCGTGGCTGCTAGTAGAGACTGTTTCGAAATAAAGTACGCTACGTTATTGCCGGAGTCGTTCTCTATACGCGTTCAGAGACACGAATAGCGGGGATAGGAACGCGCATGCGTTCCTACGTACACACACGCTCGAATAATTTGAAAGAGGAACGGACAGGCACACAGGGCCGAGAAACACAGGCGGTGCGGAGCAGGGAGGGGAAAAGAAGAGGACGGAAGGTGATAAAAAAGGTGATGGAAGGAGGAGGAGGAGGATGCGCGGGAGAGAGGCGAGGCGCGCGAGAGGGAAGAAAAGAACGCGGTAAGCGTGCAAAGAAAGAGGGAGGGGGGGGGGGTTGGAACGCGAGTAGGAAAGAGGGAGAGTGGTATCCCCGCCCATTTAAAGTGTTATCTTTGAAATTGCGTACCGCGGCAGCGTTATTAAATTAAGTAAACCGCAAAAAAGTTTCTTTCGACCGTACCCCGACCGTATACACAGCTTCCGGTGTAGTTACGGGCCGAGGCTCGCTCGCGGCATATATGGGAATTAATACCGGAGAAAAACCACCACTACCACCACCGCCGCCACCCTCTTTCATCCCTTTCCCTATTTCGGACCGCCACACACAGCCAACCGAGATCGAGTTTTCTAAAACCTGGCTGTTTCGCATCCCTGGCCCGCCCGTATAAAAAGGTACTTTTAATTTTTGCGATCGTAATATAGTATACGTACACCCCCTCACCCATTCCGGCCGGGTATCGGCTGACCCGTGGCTAGGACGTGTTGCCCCTTTCCGTGTTGGTTTACGGTTTATCGTCAACAGTAAAACGATTCGAGAAATCGTTAATTTCTAAATAACTCGGTGGATTAAGAAATCCGGTTTTGACGAATAGGATAATAAAATCTCGAGGCTCGTTAATAAGAGGCAGAATAATTTCACGATTTCTTCGACGCGTTCCTGATTCGCTAATTATCCGGATTATTATGGGGAGGGGAGGAAAAAAATTTCCCGATGAATTTTATTTTTATTTTCCACGTCTCGTGCTCAAAAACAAAAGTTCCATCCCCTTTTGGCAGGCAGAGGTGAGAAGAAACGAAAGGAAGAGCGAGAAACTTTACGAACAATTTTTCCCCTAATAAAGGATTCACTCTTAAAGCGATCGACTCTCGCAAAGTATCCGCTTTGACGTTCGCCTCTCTAATTTCTTATTCCTCTCCAAAGTTTGACAGTTTTGGTAGGTAGAGGTGGGAAAGGGTTTCGTTGTCCACCATCGTGGAAAAAAGGGGAATTAAGGAGAGTCTGACACCGTCTATCGTTACCAGAGACGCGAGAACAATAAACGAGAAGAGAAATTCTCCTAAAAAAAGGGGAAATTCTCCTATCTTTCCCTAAAAGAATCGATTCAGGATCATCGTTACGGATTATAATCCAATTTTTGTTTCTGTTTTTGTAAAAAAAAAAAAAAAAAAAAAAAAAAGAAAGAAAAGAAAAGAAAAGAAAAAAGATTATATAGTCTCTAATTAAGAAATTTAGAAATAGAAATTACGAGAAGAAAATATAGATACATGGATACGTGACTTCGAAGTCACACGACGACGTTGTAGAAGCTTAATTTGCAAGATTGCGTTTTACGGTATTTCATAGTTACCTACTCATGGCCGCTATTACTTCCACGATTATTCTTCTTTAAATCGCAACTACCTAGGATAATCGATAAATGGTAATTACCAAAGATCAAACGACAAGCATAGGCGAACAATCGGTTCCCCGTAAGAGCAACTTTTACGACGTCCACGTAACGAGGAACTTTAATTTACCATTACGTTTTTTACGACGCGGCGTAGAGAAGCGCGTATAAATATTGCAGCACGCACTTGTAACGTACTCGTCGCGGAAGTGTTATCGAGCCTGGGATACACCGCGCTATCGCGAGTTTTACGCTCAACCGAGAAATCGCGTCCCCATAAAATCCGTCATTCAGAAAAATCAGATTTTAACGACCGCTGTCGGTCGTACGTCGCGCTTAACGTTTTTCGTTTCCACCTGTATCCCCGCCGTCGTCCGATATCCGTCGTCACCGACGCTCGAAAATTATTAATTAACGCGCGCGCGCGCGCCCCACCCCCCCCGTCCTCCGAATTATTCCGTTTATTTTAACCCGTTTCGAAGCCTGGCGTTTCGAATCGGACACACCCTCGTTATTTTAACGAAACTTGTACGCGTTAATCTCGATGGAAAATTATTCGGATTGCGTATACACAGAAAGCTCGCGTCGAGAAAAGGAGTCGAGGAGAGAGAGAGAGAGAGAGAGAGGAAAAGAGAGGAGGACTCCCCTCCCCTCCCCTCCCAAAATCGTCAACGAATACAGCGGAGAACAGAGGCCTTTCCCTCCCTTCCTCCCTCCCTCCGTTTCTACGGGGTAAAATTTCCAACAAGAGAGGCGGAGGATGGGAGGGGGGGGGGGATCCATTGTGCGCTTTTCCGCCCCGGCAAAGTCACCGCGACGAGTTTATTCGCAAACGTTGTACTCCTCGTTGTAAAAGAGAGCTACCACTCGCTCCGGTAAACACGCATGATTACGATAAATCTCAATGGAAAGCCAATTACGTGTTCGAAGTTACCTCGGCGAGCGTTAATGGGTTCAAGTGAATGGTACAGTAAATTGCACTATCTCCGGTGCTGTTTCTGGTTTGTCCAACGGTAAATCTGCCGCCAAGTATATTTAGTGCGTGGTCCTCGTAAATTCGCGAGGGTGCCGCTCGAACGAAGACGGAATAAAAAAAAAAAAAAAGGGAGGAGAGGGAGGAGAGGGGAGGGAGAGGAGGAGGAAGAGGGGAAGGACAGGGAGTCGGAAAAGGGAAAAGGAGGGAGGGGAGACGGAAGGAATGCCGTTTCACCGCGAGATTGTCACGGATAGCCGTCGTTAAAATCGCGAGAATCGTTCGGCAAAGTTTATTACAAAATCTCGGTGCACGGATCGTTCCTCGGCCGAATATGCAAACAAGTCGTTCTGTTTCGCCAATATTTATCGCGTTTACGGGCCGTAGCATGTGTCCCCTGTCAGTTTTTTAATACACCTTTAAACGCGTATCCGACGCGCGACAAATTTTCACGGTAGACATACATACCGCTGTGAGAAACTTCCATTTCTTTTTTTCTCTCTCTCTCTCTCTCTCTCTACTCCCGTTTTTCTTTATTTCTCTCTGTCTCTCTCTCTCTCTTTCTCTCCCTCTCTCTTTCTCTCCCTCTCTTTTTCCGTTCGAGTCGAAATCGAACGATTCGATGGTGGAAGGAAAATCTAGATTTTTATCTATGCACGCGAAACAGAAATAGGATTTGGACGTAGGAAATTTGTCGGGGACGAAAATATGCTTGATCGCACGGGCGGGTCGCGGGAAGTGCACGCGGGCTAGAGATGCTTCCCCTTTGATTTCCCCCAGGATCGTATCAATGGGACAATCTACGATTCTTGGACCCGACCGTTCTCTCGCCATGTACCATTTCCCCTTCAAATTCCATTGTAGGATAGAATTTTTTCCCCCCCCCCCCTCGTTCCAAACAGAATATTCCTGGAAACGTGGCTGTAATCGGGAGATGTTCGACTCGGATGGGAAAAATCTTTGTATTCCTTTAAATGAAAATTCCGCGTTTCGAGGGAAGGTATGCAATTACGAAGAAACACGCGTAAAATCGTTTAGCAGCCGGGCGGACATTTCTGATTCTACGGTGATGACCCTCCGCTTCTGGCTTGCGAACACGCGAGTGCCGCAAACGACACGTCTACCAAGCGTTCGTACGTCTCGCCGCGGTTAGTTAACCGTGCTATAAATACGACCACGTCGGCATAACATTATTTTTCCAAAGAAACGTCTTGGACGCACGCATCGAGCTGTCTCTGCCTCGAATCTCCCCTCCCCTCGTCTGCTGGCTCGCGCCACCAAAATTTGCCGAATAAATAGCGGGAATTTTTTCCGCGCCGAATTTTCCCTCCCTTCTCTTCTCTTCCTCCTCCCCTCCCCTCCCCTATTCCTGAAATCATCGAATCATGGAAACAAGACAACGAAAGAAAACAAAAATTGATTTTGACAACGCTAATTTTTTTTTTTTTTTTTTTACTCTTCTTTTTCCTAATTACAGATGCGCGGAAGGCTTCACGGGTCTGCGGTGCGAGACGAAGGACGTCATCAGCACCGGAAGTGTGTACAACCGGCGTAGGGCGCCGTTTTCCTGCAAGCTGGGACTATCGACCTCGTACTACTGCTAGCGATAATCGCGCGGGGCCCTTCCATTCTGAGTAGACCCTTTTCTAAAAAAACTCGAACTCGGTTCACTCGGGCTTAGAATTAGAACCGGTCGAAAAGACGAGAGCCCACGAGAAGAATGCCGTGAGAGGGCCAACGCGCGACCAAATAACGAAACGAGGAGGCGATTATTATTATATTAATTATAAACGCGATCGATCTCGGGATACACGCACATACACACACGCATACGCACACATACACACACACACGCACGCAACTGCGAGATCCAACAACTGCGAAACGAATTACGCAGCGAAATTCACGACGAGAACATTGAGCAGGGGAAAACGAGAAAGAAAATGAGAAAAAAAACAAAAAAAANAAAAAAAAAAAAAAAAAAAAAAAAAAGAAAGAAAAGGAGAGAGCGAATCTATGCGCTGATATACATATATATATTTATATATATATTTTTTTTTTTTCGGTGAACCGTTGTTGTCGGGCATTAGAACGAGTCCTCTTGTATTGTAGGAAACAGGTTGCAAAAAAAAAAGAAAAATCAATTTTTTTTTTTTTTTTTTTTTTTTTTTCTTTTGGTAACCGGGCATTCGTACCTTCTTCTTTCTCTTCTTCCGTTTCTACATTCATACCTCGACGAGTTTCTTCTCAAACACGATTTTTTTTGCTCTATTTCCTCCCTCGATTCTTCCTCTTCTACTTTTATCGTCGTCACTGCTGTTATTTCTCCAGAAAATAGAAAAAAAGAAAAGAAAAGAAAAGAAAAGAAAAGAAAAGAAAGGAAGAAATGTCGCGTTACGACACGTGCCTTGTGTCTCTATAGAAATTTTATCCGCGAGAGAGAAAGAGAGAGATAGAAAAAGAGAGAAAGAGAGGAGGAGGATGAGAAGATGAAAAGGAGAGAGCATATGGTATCGTGTGTTTGTATGCATGTGTTTCCGTGTATCGAAACGCGCGTGTGAAAGGAAAACGGAGAGATAGAGGTGAACGCACGAGAGTGTGCAAGGGAAAGAGTTATGGCGGATTCTTGCCTGTCCCGAACCCCTTCAGTTTCATATCGGGAAGGCAGAAGAAGCGTTCGAGTGACGCTCGTGATTCAGAAGTGGTGCTTGACCTCGAAAGATCGCGAACCACCGATGGAGAACGGGAGAGAGAGAGAGAGAGAGAGAAAGAATGAGAGTGATAGAGAGAGAGAGAGAGAGAGAGAGAGAGAGAGGCAGAGACAGAAAGAAAAAAGAGAGAAGAGAAAAGAAAACCGGAGAAGAAGCAGTGAGAAGAGCATTCGAAGGTCGCACTTTTCGGAGTCTCTCTACGGGAGAACAATACCAAAGAGCCCAGGGTCTCGATAAAGGACGTCGCGTGAAGGGTTGAAACACTCGGGAATCTTCTAGATCGATACGTCTATGTATATGTATGCAAAAAAAAAAAAAAAAGATAAAAAGGAGAGAAAAGAAGGAAACGCGGGGTTAAACGTCGCGAGAAGAAGTACATTTGGAAACAACGCAATCTCGAAACGCGTCTGAATATTTCCTACAACCTTCGTGTCCCATACCGTGGAAACGAAGCTCGAAAGCGAAAAGTGTAATATTCGGAATTTTTCTCTCAAAGGATTCGAAAACGATGGACGCGATTCGAGATTTCTTGATCGATCGATCGATCGATCGATCGAATCCGACACTTCGATGCATCGCACGCTTAACGCCCGAACATCGTTACCCGTCCTCGGTGAATTTTCTTCCTTTCGGCGACGATGGAAGGGAAAAACACACGTCATCGTCGTCGTCGTCGTCGTTGTTATTCGGATGGAGGGCCGAAATCTTTTGTCAGACGTTGTTGGAAAATACGGGGCACGCAAAGTTGCGAGCGAAAACAGGTCTAACGACGCCAGAAACGAGAAGCTCGCAGCGGGCGATATATATTAGCGTCGAACGTCTCGGTCGAAAATTTCCTCGTATTTTTACGCGTCTACCGGGACAATTCGAGAACGATCGATCGTGTCGCGCGACCGGAATAAATATCGTAATTCACTCGCCGGCGGAGGAATTATCATCGACCCCGTGAGGTGACCGGTCGTCGTCATCGTCGTCGTCGACGTCGTCGTCTCGATTCTCTCCCACCGTCGACACTGTTCCTCTATTACTTGGTCGAGGCAGCTGCGTTTCTCCCCCTCCCCCACTCCCTCACCCCTACCCCGGAATTTTCCATCAACGATTGATAAGGGCCGTAACCTCCTTACGTATGTAAAAATATCACCGAGGGGGAAACGAGGGGTATATATTGGCTCGAGGAGAGCCAATCGGTGGAGAAAAGCGAGGGGGAAAAAGAGACCACTAGGCAAAAAAAAACGATTTTATGTAAAATATGATAATGTAATACGCGTTAGACTAGTTAAAGCAGAGACTTAAGATAGTTAATGAAAATAGAGAGCACAAGAGAAAAATGAGGGTAGAGAGGAGGAGAGAAAGGGAGGGAGTGAAAGGAAGAGAGAGAGAGAGAGAGAGAGAGAGAGAGAGAGAGAGAGAGAGAGAGTGAGACAGAACGAATAAAAATATCGCAACGATTAGGAAATGGGCACGTTGGGTCGAGAACTTTCCGAACGAGACGATTGGATGCATTTAATTATTCGAGGCATACCTCGAGATTCGAAATATCGATATCGAATTTTCATTAAGATGTTATTCTTTTTTTTTTTTTTT